TAAAAACTGTATTTGCTTCTTTTGCTCGCCAGACGGACCCGTCTTCACTAAACCTTCCATAACTTTTGATCCTTTGCATTAACCTTCATTCAAACGTGTTTTAACCTGAAAAGACTCTAAAAACATAGAAAAGACTCGATAAAACTCAGAAATCATTGGTTAGAATGCGTTAAAAACGCAACACATCAATTTTATTTGGTTTTCTTTCTGTCTTAGCTACTTGAACACTTCAAGCCAAGTGAACCGTGGGTGAGTTTGAGTCCTCCTAGTAAAAGTAACTCTGATAGAGGACCAAGCCAGTTTTCACCCGAAGAGTTGGAAAAAGAGCTTTTCGATATGTTCTTGAAGATAATATTTCATGCCAGGTCAATTTCCATTTTAAGCTCTAGATTCAAAACTGTGTCTTGGACCAATCTTTGAGATTCATTTCTCTTTTTGTTTGTCGGGTTTTACAACAATGTCATAGGAATGGTTGCAGATTGCTGGTTAACAATAAAGGACCGCTTCCTCATGCTCAGAAATGATAGAGCTGAAGAAAAAGCTGAAATGAGAGAAAATGCTAAAGCTTATTGATGTATATTATGATGCTCTTGATGCACCAAAGATAGGAGCGAGATTGATGTATTCAAGTCCACTTCTATTCTTGGATTAATCTATGAGTGTGTTAAATCACAAACAACAGAGAAAACCTCACCATCATCTGGTAAATGATCTTTCTTGTTAAGTGTTTCTTGTTACATAATCAGATCACAGAATAAATCACTATATATGTTCTAACTTTTAACTGATGTTCACAATTCAGAAATCAGTAAACTCCCATGTTTCAAAGATGAACGGGCCTCTGAGTTACATATGGAGAAATGTAAACAGTGGTTTGACGACTACAAGCGCGATATGGGCAAGGCGATGAATGCCGATGAGAGCTACAAGGATGAATTAGCCAGTGAAGTTATTCAGAGATACAAGTAACCCTCAAACCTAATACCACTCGTCAGATTCTGTCCTCAAATCATATATAAAGAACAAAAGTAGAATCCGATTACAAAACTCATGAATCACATTTCCTAAAATGGTTTCTTCTTCTTTGCGTATCAAGAGTTCTACGGCGCTGCAGGGTTTGAAGACAGCAAGAAAAGTCTTGAAGAACTCTATCCTCAAGCCCTCGCACTCTACAACATTGTTTACGATTAGCAATTCAGACAGGTGTTTCAACATCGTTTGTGTGGAAGGTTGCAAGACCGGTCCTGTGCAGACTCTACCTTAAGAAAACGAAGGAGAAATCTATGATGTGTTCAGTCTCTGTGCTTAAAGAGCTTTGGGGTTGAAGAATACAGTCACTTGTTCCTGTTGTGTTCTGGTAATGACAATAAGCCTTTTGTTGTCTTCATGTCACAAGAAGCGTGTGAGGCAAGTATGTTACCTATGTAGTAACCTAACCTATATCTTAAGCTATCGAATCAAGATGTGGTGTAGTTCTACTCTCTGTCCTCTACTGTATAATAACTTCGTATGAATGCTTGCTTATGAATAATAAAATAAAAATATGTTAAATAATGAAGCTAATATTAAACAAGATATTTCTAAAAGCCAGTCCTCACATAGCTTGGTGGTGCAGTAACATAGTATTCTATCAACTGAATTACTGAAATATTATCAGTTCAATAGGTTTGTTCAAGGAAACGACCAAACCTATTAAAATATATATTTCAGAAAAACGCACCAAAGACAAAACAAATAAGATTGCATCTAGCTTATTTAGTGACCACTTCTTCTTTTGCCTCAAGGTCAAGCTCTCACTAGATTTGAACCAAACTTGGAACACAAGTAAGAAAATTAAGTTCCTTCTCTGTATATCCAGGTGCTTCTTCACAAATAGCTTCACAGTCATGTCTCCTTCAACGTTTTCAGTATCATCAGATTCCTCGTTCTGTTCTTCATCCCCGCTTTTTTCACCGGAATATCTTCTTCATTACCCACCTCTACATTAACTTCGCCACCTTCTGATGCCATTACTTCTTGAACACTATCAAATTCTTCATTTCTTCGCCTATAAAAGAGTATTCATATGAAAAATTATTGGAAGGGTTAGATGATGCATGCATAACACTCGAATTGAACATACAAAACCCTCGATTCAACAAACAAAAACCCTCGATTCGACAAACATCTGAAACATGTAATATATTTACAATTGAGATTCGGTTTTACCTTTTGGGCTTCGAAAACCCAGCTTGCTTCTTCTTTCGGGCATTGTTCTCATACTAATACGAAGCTTTGTACTCGATTTTGGTTTAAGCACGTGACATCAAAATACGCATTCGTCGCTTGGTTAGCAAGTCAAATGTATAGAATGTCTAGTTGGAATAGGAATGATATATAACACATTGTGGTTTTGCTAGAATTACATAATCATTAAAAACAAAAATTAATGAATAACAAAAGATTTCATTTAAATTGTTAGAATTTTATAAATTTGATGACGGCAATCGTGGGCTAAGCATAAAAGATGGTAATAAGCGAAAAATTCTATGACTGTAAAGAATAAAGATAAGTCTCCGGCTTGAGCAATGCAGCTTTTAAACTCTTCAAGTCAAGGAATCATCGTGAGAAAACCTCAATGCAACTTGAGCCTGAAACAAAGATTTAGCAATGTATTTATCATAAGGTAGTGCCTGACTTAACGACTCATAATCCCTCACTCCTTCAGCCCATTTTTCCAGCTACAATTTCACGAGAAAAAAGCTTTAATTAGAACAGGTGAATGAAAAAGCCCAAAACAAAATCACTCTATATAAGAGAATTTTACCTTGCTGTTTGACAAAGCCCTTTGAATCAGTTTAACAATTTTCTTATAAATTTTAACTTCAATGTTCTGTGGATCAAACTCTGAAGCTTTTGCTATAGCTTTAGCTGCATCATCAAACCTACAACATGCAACTCTTTAATTACTCTTTTTATCCATGATTAGAAAACTAAATATGTAACCAACTATTAAGTTAAAAAAATCTCACCTTTCTAGCGCAAAGTATATATGGGATTTCACAAAATATGTGTACGCTTCACTGATCATATCGAAAATTCGAGTTTGTGAGAAAGAAGCTGGGAATGGCTCTACTTCGGGGACGTGTTCTAGTTCCTTTTGAGCCTCATTAAGCCGTTGGAGTTTCACTAGTGCTTCAACTTTACACATAGCTAGCTGCGTATAGTTTTGAGATATGTAAGTATAAAAAGACTTAATTAAAACGTTTGATTATGATTCTTAATACAAGATTGTTTGTTGTTTTACCTGAGGAGACAAATCAGCTCCAGACACCATAGCCGCACCTGCTTCACGTAAAACATCGTTCCATTCGTCGCGTCTTCTTGCATATGCGCATTTTTCCCAGTGTGTGTCGACTTCTTTAATCATGGCCAAAAACTTGGCATCTGATCGTTCCTTCACATAACACTTCCTCGCATTATCGACCTGGCCTAATCTGCCACCAAATTAAAAGACTCGAATTATCAAGATTTGTACTCTCTGTCTCATGAAAACGAATCATTGAGTTTCTTTGCCAAAAAAAAAAAAAACAAATCATTGAGTTTACCTAAGAAGCATCAAGGCTAAATTTTGATGAGCTAATGCAAATTTTGGATCCAAATTTATGGCTTTTTCACACTCTTTCACACCTTCCCAAATCTTTCCCAGTCTCGACAATGCAGCTCCTCGATTGCTATGGTGCGCCGCGTTTTTGGGATCAAGCTCTAATGCTCGATCGTAGAATTTCAAAGCCTGAGTGTAAAGATCTTTTTTGAACCATTTGTTTCCACAAGTTCTGGCTATTTCAGGATCATTGATCTCCTCCAATAATGTCTTGGCATGAAACAGACGAATACGATGACATCTCAGGAGAAAAGATCTTACGTAACCAACTAGGCTTGTCATCTTTCGTAATCAATGGTTTGTGCAAATCATCTGCCTTATTGAGTTTTGACATTAGTTTAACACAAGAAAAAGACGAAACAGAGAGATCAGTAGTAAGCAATAAAGCGAGAAAGATTGTGGTGGTGGAGGTGGAGGAGATAGATTGATTGGCTTTGCAAGATTAGAAAAGAAGAGAGTTATGAGAAATAACAAGAAAAGATTCTTCTCGTAATATTGATCATATATTATATGTGCAACGTAATTTATACAAAAGCATATATATGGTTGAACTATTCCTGCTAGGAATTACTTTCCTATAAACCAAATACATATAGAATATATATATCCCAATAACGAGAACTTATCTCTAAGATAATTATATATGTATATATATATATATACTTTGTAATATACTTTTATACTTGTAAATGACATAGGAATAGAAAAATTAGAAATATAGACCAAATACAAAAAGGATGAACTGTTTAATATCTA